TCACCGCTTAATTGAAAAGTTCAGACCACCGCGAAGGCTCGAAAGGCTGGGGAAGCTGTAAAAATTTTTTATATCCGGGAGTATAATAAAGGAGGATGTGGGCAGCCCGGCCGAACTTGTCATCACCAGTAAATCTCCAGACAGTGACTAGGTCAGCAAAGTTCACCAACGACTGAGGAGGAAGAGCTATTTCTCGAGCAGGGACATATGCACAAACAAAAAAGAGAGGAGTCATGAACACGTAGAAAATCTCAAGAACAAAATAATAGACCCGAAGGAACCGACGTACTTGTCGTTCTCCATTCCAAAGGGCATAACAAACCGTTATACTCGGGACCGACACCTCTCTGCCAAGATCCTTTGAAGATAAGTATGTCATCCTTGTACCCCTTGTCCTAGTCGGGAAGATGAGTTACGAGGTACATAGATGAGTCATTGGCTTTGAGGTAGAAGTGTTGTTGAGGCATGACTCTCAAGAGGGAATAGCAAAAAAGGATATCGTTCAGCCCAACATTTACCCCGAGATGCCTATTGAGCTCTAGGACCCCCATAATTATCCTGAAGACATTAAGACAACACTGTCCGGGGAAGAGGTGGAAATGGGAGAGGAACTGGAGAAGTAGAGGGGGCAAAGGGAACCTAATTCCGTCCTCTATGATGGCTTTGGTATAAAAGGGCATTGCATCCTCGGTCCCGAGGGTACGAGAGTGCACAGCCGGGTTATAATCCTGTATGTCTACGTACGGGGGATGCTGTACTTGACCCTAAACCTATTAATTTGCTCACCACCGTTTACTTTATACTTCCCTGACCCCGAAGAACTGGCCTGAGGATTCTCGGGGGCAGGGCGATGACGAGGCATCTCCAAAAAGTGAAAAAGTGGAGGGTGTTTTTCCCTCAAAGATCCCCAAGGAAGCTTCCCGCGGATTGGTCGCTGAGTGGCAACCAAAAACACCACCAGTTATCGAAAAACCAAAAGGGACAGAAGGACGAAGAGAGGAAAGATACTAGAACTCACCAGAATGTAAAAAAGAGTTTTTTTTGAAAAACTTGAGGCGACTCCTTCCAGAATGTTCAGAAGCAACGATGGGTCTGCTAGCCTTAAGACTTCAGTGAAAAGGATGGGCAGTTGGCAACGGAAGGAAAGAAATATCTGGCGAAGATTCAGGCAAAGGCTCTCTTGAGAAAGTTCGGAATGACAAAATGAGAAAAGGGGAGAGGAAGCCCATTTATATAGTACCAATCTCATCATTGGGCGTGAAGCACGAAAAGGCGCATTTAATGCGCACGACGTCCTAATGAAGTAGTTGGGGTTGTTGTAAAACTCTTCGTCTCCTTACGACGCGTGTCCTCAGCGTCAGAAGATCGAAGGCTGGGGGGCAGTTGATGGGACATTTCCGAAATACTCCACGATGAAGACACGTGTCCTCGGTGTCACTAAATCCTGTTACTGAGATCACGTATCAATCGGTTCACAAGTCCCTCTCCCCCGAGGTACTTTGTCATAGGGATCAAGTGGCATCCAGTACGTTTACGTACTGACACATATCCCTCGGTTTGATATGGGTACATCGGTCGCTATATGCACCTCCCCTCAGCTCCGAGATGAACTTCCCCCTCGGGTCTGAGATGTACCTCCGTCCAGGATGGCGTTCTCTACTCCTACAGAGGCTATTGATGTACAGGTCACTAGCCTAGGCTAGGCTAGGTTAGCTATCATGACCTCGTCTTACATAATTGGTGTCAGAAAGCACAGGAGGGCAGGGGACACAGCTAATGGGGAATGGACACGTGGCATATTGTGTCACATCAGATACAGAAAGACCGGATGCCCTTACTGACACACGATTTGGGAAAGCAAACGTTTAATTACATCATTCCCTTGATAAGACAGCATTTAATGCGGTAAGGCTCGGAAGTGAAAGATAATAAATATCTCTAAGGTCGGACATTTATTACAACCGCGCCAAGAAGAGCTCATTGAATAGTCGGCAGGCCGATAACACAGCCTTGGTTGCTCGGGATTCCGAGCAGTTAAAAGAGAAGACATTCCTCATCGGAATCAGTGCGCATATTGTCTGTATCTAATGATTACCTACTGACTACACTAACAGCAATCATGAGTTTTTGAGGTATAAATACTCATCGCAAAAGACAAGACGATATGCAACGAAAAACCTTTGCTACAAATCATACTCGGTGTTTTCTTCTTCCTCTCTCTCAAAAACTGACTTGATCGTTGGAGGAGATACGCCGAAAAACACTCCGGCACCCTTCTAACTTGTTTTTCTTTGTTCCAGGAACCTTCTTCAACCTTACTAGATCGTTCCATTGATCCACGAGGATCTCCCATTACCGTTCCAGGTTACCACCAAACCTCGCAAGCTGTTCCAAGCAGCGGGGTTAACCATTCGACTGACTCACTCGAATTCACCAAGGGAGAGATATGTTCTCGTGTTTATATTGTGCAAGATTGAGCAAGAAGATTCAAAATAGAAGGATAGGATAGAATAGAATAAAAGAAAATGATTTACAAATAGCAAGGCTACCCAAAAAAATTCCTTACCTTCTAAATCCATCTGGGCAGTTGAGCATCCTCCAACATGTGTGTCCTTTGCACAATTGAACCATGCAAGCCAAATAACACTCAAAGTTACTAACTCCTGATTTCCATTTTACCCAGAATCCAATTAAATCAACACATGATTCCAATTAATAAACTCAACACCAGGAAATAAAACGGTAGATCAATTATGCAATACATTTTGGGGGTATGTGTTGTGCACTTTTTATTTGGCAGGAACCAATGTTGGCTAATTGATCAAATTAAAAGCCTATTAACCACCAAAAACATATAGCCAGTTAGCAGATTTATTCGAAACAACCCAAGATTAATATCATAACAATAAGCTTTAGCATAAACCTATCATCAATCTACCGATTAAACATTAATCCAAGCATCATAGTTTTAAGTGGACAACGATGATATGGCGTTGGGTGGTCCTGGTGGCGTGGGTAGGGGTTTTGGGTTGGGGATGCTGTTGGCGTGGGCTTTAAAACACCCAGAAAAAGTGAGATCATCAAAATAAAATGCTCATAGTTCTTTGGGTAATTTTGTCGAACATGTGGGATATAAAACTTTGGCTACAACTTGTTCAAATTAATAGCCTATTAATCACTTAAGAAATAAATAAAAAAGGGCAGATTCAGGGGTGTGGGGTGTTTGCTAAATCAGCGTGGTGGGGATGGAGTGGGATGAGGTGGCGTGGAGTGGTACTGATGGCATGGCAAGGATTGTGGGTTGGGGATGGGGATAGATGGAGGGCTGGAAGTGACTCTGACGCTACTGCGAGAGAGAGAGAGAGAGAGAGAACAAACCTATATTGGCTGGCGGCGATTGCTGGTCGTACAGGAACAGCGCCGACAGCGACGTTGAATAAAACCACCAAGAGGGATGGTCATTGGTATACGTGTGTGTGCAATCGTATGTGTTGCGCGTGTATGTATGTAGGTATGTATGTGTGTGAGTTGTGGGCAGACGACATACATTTGAAGAAGAGCGAAGGCATTGAGGCCTAATGTTGCTTGGGGATAATTTTTGGTAGGGAAAGGAGATGACAGAGAGATCATATCTGTGTGTTCGCTGCGTGAATTGGGGGAGTGAGTGTGAGAGGGAGAATTGGGGGCAGAGTTAAATGGGATTTGGAGATTAATACAAAAAAAAAATTATTCAATGGACACTGAGATGCTGTGACCGAGGGATTCATATTTTTTGGGATTGAAAAAATAATAAAGACTTCTTTTGGTTTATTGGATCAAAAATTTTGAAATGATTTAACCCGTCAATAGTTCGAGACAATGCAGTCCATCGGATGATGTCTTTTTTAGTTACGAAACGATCTCAACCACTCTATTTTTAAAATTTAAATTCGTTATATTTTATTATATATATAAATAATGAGCTCAGGACAAAACTCTTAAATATAAGTTATTTATTTATTTTTTTTTGTAGTTTCTCTCCGAGTAGTTATTAGTGCTCAATTTGATTGCTAACTCGGCGAGCAAAAGCAGGAGTCTAAGTCATATTATTAGTTTTGATAAAACACATGATTTGAACTTACATTTTTCGATATAAGAACATGTTTAAAAAATTTTAAAATTTTATTCTACAAATTCATTATTGTATTAAAAAATAAGTTTAAATCCCCCTTTCATATAAATAATGATTATTTTCAAAATAACATTCAAATGTACAATATTGAAGGAATAATGTTGAAAAATGACTACTGAATTATTAAAAACTCCAAGTGGGAGTTGCCAACAAAACACCCGCACGCGCACGAGAGCTTACGGCATAAACCACTCGTCCCTCGTTGTTGAACGTTAATATCGTTGGTTTAAATCTCGTCTCGTCTCGTCTTTCTCCCGATGATAATTAATTAGGGGTGTCAATTTTTAACTCAAACTCGAACTTGACTCGAACCGAATCTGACACAAACCCAAAAAAAACACGATTCGTTGACACCAATAATAAATGGGTCATATTAAGATTCAACACGATTAATAGATACTATAGGTAGAAAATAATTATTTAATGAGTATTTTAGATAAAAAAATAAGAATTTTATAATTTTTTAAATAATATTATATTAGTTGTTATCAAATTAAATAATTTTTTATTAATACGAATAATGACACGAACCCGATACGTACTGAAAGTAATACGACACGAAAATAATACGATAAAAAATGATACGATACGATACGATTGACACCCCTAACGATAATGATGGAAAAAAAAGAATACACACAAAATAAAACCAATTTTTTTGGGAAAACAAAAAAATACTTTTTAATTTTTCAACGAATATTTATTTTTTGTAATTTTTACTTTTGCCCTTTGCTTGCACTGCACAAAAGAAGCGCCAAAGAATTTGGATCCAATGCCCATTCCCATTATCTAACTCCAATCAAACCCAATCAATTTCAAGGCCACAGAAACAGAGTTGGGTTGTTTTGGGTTTCATTTCTCCTTCTTTGAGCCACAACATCGAAGCTGCTCACTTCTCCAATATCTGGTAATTATACTCTCTCGCCTTCTCTTTTTTGGGGGACAGGTGATTTTCGTAGTGTTAATGGCTCACAATTTTTTTTTTTTTTTGAGAAAATTCTTTTGTTTTTGGGAAAATTCAATTTGCTTGATCCAAGAAATTGGCATACCCATGGGAATTTGAATTAGTTATAGTAAATGTAATGGGAAGTTGAGATGTCTGATTATTTAAGTACCTTATATTCGGTGAATTATTGACTCTATCTCATTTCTTCGTTAGCTCATAAGTTGTTTGATTTCAACCGTTTTTGGTACTGGGTATGTTCTATCAATTCCACTAGAACTATTGAATTTTCAGATATAGAAAACTATTTGATGGTTTAGGCACTTTTTTTCCTTCTTCTGAATATATTTTTCTGGTGGGAGTTTGATGTGAAAGAGACTATCAAATTAGAACGGGTGAAAATTTTCAAAAGGGCTTGGAAAGATACTGATACTCCATGGCTAACAATACTAACAGTGTGGCAGACCCAGAAGATTAATTTTAGGTTGAAGGCATTCTCATGGCTCATTAGTATGATAGCAAGGTCTATGATGATTAAGAACATCCTATCCACTATAGTTTTGTTTTTTCATCTTGTTTTTCTGAAAATAGTTTTGATTTACTTCACCTACTGATTGAGTAACTAACATAGCCATGAAAATGCTCTATTAAACTATTTCCTGGTTCACTGATTTCGGAATTGCATGAATCCTCGGTAATTGTCATTTATTGTTTGGCAGAGTTAAGGTGACATAAAGACAGTCATGGATCGGCTTAGAAGTTCTGCACGTCTCATGATAGTTTCAGATCTTGACCATACGATGGTGGGTATTATTGTTGTTTGCTTTGCATTACTCTACACTGCTGTGACTCATTGGAGAAAATGGTTTGCAGGTGGATCATCATGACTCTGAGAACCTTTCTCTGCTTAGGTTTAATGCCTTATGGGAAGCCAATTATCGTTGCGATTCTTTGCTAGTATTCTCAACTGGAAGGTCACCGACGCTTTACAAGCAGTTGAGGAAAGAGAAGCCCATGCTAACTCCAGATATAACCATAATGTCTGTTGGAACTGAGATAACATATGGTAATTCAATGGTTCCAGATGATGGCTGGGTTGAATTCTTAAATCAGAAGTGGAACAAGAACATGGTCATAGAGGAAACAAGCAAGTTTTCTGAACTTACTCTTCAGGTATTGCACGTTACTTTTAGCATGGGGTTGTTGATTATTATATCAGGTGCATGATAGGCATCTGTTTAATACAATGAATTTGATCTGTAAAATTGGGATTAATTTTGAGGGAATTAGCAGGATACACCAACAAAAAATTGGTTTTTATTTTTGGAATTTGTATATTAATTTTTTGGGAAATGCAGTCAGAAACGGAGCAACGACCACACAAGGTTAGCTTCTATGTTCAGAAAGACAAGGCTCAGGAAGTGATGAAGGATCTTTCTGAGCGTTTGGAAAAACGTGGGGTAAGATAGAGCTTTTCTTCTGCAGTATTATTATGTCAAGACTAAACAGTTTTGGCTTACATTTGAACTTATTAGTATCTATTTATTTGCCTGAGATAAATATTTATATTGGCAAGTGTGGAATCATATTTGTAATCACAATGCGTATTTTCATTTCCTTCTCACCTTAAATATTTGGCTTTGTTCTTGGCCAGTTGGACGTTAAAATAATTTACAGCGGGGGGATGGATTTGGATATATTGCCACAAGGTGCTGGGAAAGGGCAAGCTCTTGCTTATTTACTTCGAAAATTTAAGACTGAGGGAAAATTGCCTAATAACACTCTTGTTTGTGGCGACTCTGGAAATGATGCTGAGCTATTTAGCATTCCAGAAGTATATGGTGTCATGGTAGGTGGTTTATCTAATTCGTTACCATCTTGAGATATTTCTTGAGTTTGTCTAAGTGACTGCTTTCTTTTTAATAAATGTTCATCATGCAGGTCAGTAACGCGCAGGAAGAATTACTGCAGTGGCACGTGGCAAATGCTAAAGATAACCCAAAAATAATTCATGCAACTGAGAGGTGTGCAGCTGGTATTATACAAGCCATTGGTCACTTTGGCCTGGGTCCAAATACATCTCCTAGAGATGTTACTGACTTATCAGACTCTAATTTGGAGAAATTCGATCCTGCTTATGAAGTCGTGAAGTATTACTTGTTTTTTGAGAGCTGGAGGCGTGCAGAAATCAAGAATTCTGACCTATATGCGGCAAATCTGAAAGCAGTTTCTGTATGTCTTATATCCTTGAGACTGCAGTTTATAGATTTATATGCATATTGTGTTTCTATTGTAGTCCTATTTATCAAGACTGAATAGATTGTGAGTAAATTTTTCATGATAAAGTCCTTGTTGGAAAATAAAAGAGATTAAACTCGATCACACTTTAGTTTGGTTTAGTAAGTTTGCAAAGGGGATCATTTTTCTTCTTTTTTTTTTTAATTACATTGTTCAGATCTGGCATTCTGAATTATGCCTTGAGAAAAAATTTACTCATCCAGTCAGATGAGTTGAGGTTGGGTGCATGCCTGCTCCATTTCTTGTTAAAAGTTCATATGTGGATACAAATGAGAGTTTAGAGCTTTACAAAGTGTGGATCATGAGGTGTAAGATATGGACTAACTAATGATTGTATTGCTGCTTTCTTGTTGAATAACTAAAACAAGGAAGAGCTAATTTTAGTATTACGGTCTAAATTATAAATTTTTGCATCTGTCGTTTGTCAGTTAGAGAGAATTGTTTCGATTTGGAGTCCTTTTTCCTTTTCTAAAATACTCCGTAACTTTTTGTTTCTTTTGCCTTGGCTTGAACGTGTATGCCCACTCACCACCCAAAATTTGCATCGATTGTGGACAATTACCCTGCTCAACAATTTTCGTTTTTTTCCCTTGCAGTCTCCATCTGGTGTTTTTGTCCATCCGTCTGGTGTCGAGCAGTCTCTTCGTGACTGTATAGATTCATTGAGGAGATCCTATGGAGACAAACAAGGACAACAATTTCGGGTTTGGGTTGATCAGGTCTTGTCTGAACAGATATGTTCGGACACATGGCTAGTGAATTTCAAAAAGTGGGAAATATCTGGTAAGAGATCTTTGCTTCATGAGGTGATATTTGCCTTTGGTTCTTACCTCCCATGTTTTTTCTTATTTTTCGTCCTCTGCATTTCGTTCAACGTGCTGGCAGACTAGTGGATGCCATGGCTAATTTAAATTTTTTTAATGCTTAGAGAAACACTGTGTTTTACGTACAACCTCCATATTGTGTAAACTTCTGCTCTTCTTTTGTTTATATTCACTGAAATCAAATAGTTGATAAGAACTTATGAGAATGACATGGATCACTTGTGTTCTTTTCCAATGCGCTTGTACCTCGGATGAACAATTTGTAAGAAGTAGCTACATCCAAGTTGAACATGTGTTGAATGCCTATACGTCTTGGAGAGTCCAAGATGTCTTGGATGTGTCTATTACTGAAATATGAAGTCATGCATGTGGACACCTGTCTGCCTCTTGGACACATGCCTACAGATGACCTGCAAGCTTATGATGTTATGACCCGACTTGCTTTCCGTATTTAAAGAAATATAGTTGGAATGAATACAATGGTTTTGTGTGGAACTCATTAAGAAGGTAGAACATGTCAAAAAGAAAAAGTGACATGCACAAAGGTTTTATCAGCGAAGCAAAAATGGGAGGACAGTCTAATATGTTTGGACATGATTCTAGTAAAAATGTAACATATACCAGTTGTTTACATCCCTCTTTCTGTGTAGTTGTCCCTTATACATTGCATTCTTGTTCTATCTTGTAATTGACTAATATAGTTCAACACTTCAACCATCCATAGTTACGAATCTCTCTACCAGAAAAAGATAATTAAAAAAAATGAAGAGAAGGGTTTAATCTTTGTCATGTCATTTAAACAACTCAAATTTTCTTTTCAGTTGGATAATGGCTAATATTTTTCCTATGCGACTTGTGTTTCTGTAGCTTTAGCTCTATAATGTCTTGCCAATTCATGCAGGTGACCAGTGGAAGTGTTGCATCACAACTGCTTTATTAAGTTCCAAGGTAAGGTTTGAGAGATTGTTAGATCTTGTCCCACATGAATATAATAACACATCCCAAACCGTGTAGTAATCTGGTGGGCTTCTCCGCTCATTGCTAATTAGTTTCGAGTTAGATATTTTAACATGCTATTAAGCTGGCCATTAGGAGGGTTTGGGCAAGACTCTTTTTTTCAATTTTGTCAAGTTGGTAATTTAATATCCTTTTGTACATGTGATAAGTACACTTGTCTCATCTTTGAGTTTGTTTTTGATTCTTCTCTTTACTCACACTCATACATGCATGAAGTGTTGAAGCTGGTTTCACAGCAGTGGAGTATCTATCACCCTCCCGAATATATTTATACGAACCTTCTGGGCCTTTCACTCGTTGCCAATTGGTTTTGTGTTGTATACTTTAATAAATGTTATAGTTTTGTATCATAATACTAATTTAACATTCTCAATGTGTATTTGTTGCTCTCAGGATGTGAGTGTTGCAGAAGGACTCACTTGGCTGCATGTGCATCAGACATGGTTAAATGGAACAGATCAAAGTGATCACACATCCTGGATCTGCTAGATTGTGCTTACTTACATTTTGAAGATCCAGCAACTCATCTATGTTTTCTGATAGAATAAATTTTTTTAATCATATTTTAATATGTTGTCTTTGGCCACCAATCCATTCAAGATGGCTTGTTTGTTACATTACACATGATGTCTTATCATGGAGAAAATTTTTTGTGGTTCATATATGCATGTATATTTACACTGGCATGTCAAAAGTACCCTGATGAGTCACTGAGTTTGCCTCCAAAGTGAGGGTGAGATGTAATTTCACATGTCTTGAGTTCGTGCCACCTTAAGACACTTAACATACGGTTTTAAAGATGCAGTCTTTGTGGATGAATATTTAGATGCGAGATTTATGTTGCAGCCAATGAGTATAAGAAACTAAGAAGACTAATCGTATTGCATCATGAAATTGAATATCATTTTCAACCATGTACATGCTGCTGAGACATTGTTTGGATCATCGGTCGGATCGGATAGGATAGGATTTCTCTTTTATATCTTATCCCATCCAACTCAAACCCTTTCGGTCACAATTTTACAACCCATATATTATTAGTTATTTAATGCAAGAATTATTAGTTTTGAGTATATTTCACACAAACCCTCTCACATTGAATTTTATCATACAGACACAGTCTTACATTTCAATAATAGCATTAAAACCTCTTGTTATTTAAAGTTTGTAACAACTAGATCCTCCACGACATTAAAAAATCTAACAACAATCGATTACATCGACTTAAAAAAAAAATTAAATATTTTCCAAACTATCATTCTATGGTAAAACTAATATTTCCATTATACCCTCAAATAATACTAAAAGGAAATTTTATTCTCCCACCATAGTCTAGACAATTTCTCTTTTGTGGCACACATTTTCTTTTGATTTCCCAATTATTTTTTTTGATAATAATCACCATACTTATTGTAATTTTCAAAATTAAGTCTAATTATACCATGTTAATTACAATTTGAGTAATTAATCAACAAAAATAATAAAATTATTTGCCATTGTTATCAATTGAATAATTTTGATAACTAACCACCATAGTAATTAAAATTTTAGCAATAAGTTTTCCAATTATACCTTTGTAATTAATATTGTTAATGAGGAGTAAAGGCTGCAACTATCCCACGTCGAATAGCTTTAGGGTTGTGTGTGTATATAAGGCCCTTTGACACTATCACTTTTAAGTGGCGGTGTTGTAATGGTCCTCTGTATGTGTATTATTTCTTTCAAAAAAAATATTTATTTATTAACTATCATATTAGTAAAATTAACCCCCCACCACTACCTACAATCAACCACCCCACACCCACATGTGACTCCATCGCTCCACTTCTCTCTCTCTTTCTCTCTACCCCTTAATTTATTCACTATCTTTTCCATTGATGTTTACTCGAAGTCTTGAATTGTCGTGGTCGTCGTTGCCCCCCGCTGCATTCATCCTCTATTTGTGACCAACACCAAGACCACCCCTAAGTCACCAACCACCACCGGGGATGTTCAAATTTTCACTCAGTCGCATATTTCGATCCTATACAATCCTACTAATCAGTTTTCGCAAAATATGGGGTAGTTAATAGAAATTTTTTTGGTATTTCTCAAAAAATTGGGTAGGAATGTAAAATACTTACAAAATTTTCGTATTCTTACCCTACCCAACTCGTACATATTTTTTAAATTTTTTTATATTTTTAAAAATATATGTGTTAATGTACTTGACATTGTTTAGTATTTGTGCGACAATTATAATGTATTAATGTTTATGACTTTCTTATTGTGTTTTATTATATTTGTTTATGTATTATCAAAAAAAAAAATTTAGTGTTATTGATTTATTGTGTTGGTTAATTGGTGCAGGTTACTTAATTGAATTATTAAAATGATCCAAAAATTAATAACTAAAAAAATATATGTTCATCCGATTTCTTACCCTACTTCCTATCCGATTGTTTTGGACGGAATTCGGCTGAAATAGTACACTTGATCTAATAAGGTTGGCTAAGAAAAAGTATCGAATAAAAAAAATAAAATGTTATAATTCCTAGCCGTCGGATATGGTGAAGACCCCTAACCACCGCTGTTATTCCTTGCCACCAACACAAACTCAATCTTCATTTTTGCCACTCTTTAACAAAAACCCATTTTTCGTACTTTAATTGATTGAACAATGCAGTGGTCTAGTTGGTATGATATTTGCAACCTTATTTGTATTAAAGTTGGATGGTGTAATCATAAATTTTATTTCATGGAATGCATTCCAATAAGTTGTTGTTAGGCTTGATTGCAACCGCTTACTAGCGAATGATCAGCATTCGTCCAATTAACCAGATATAATTTATCGTTTTCTTTTTATGCTTAAGAATACCGACTATTCGAAAAGAGATGAACAAAAGGAATAATACAAATTCTTTTTAGTAGTAAAGCGAATAATTGATATAAGGATAGACCATGTATACTAGATCCAAACAATTGAATATAAAATTCAAGCATGTAGTAATGTGTTGCTAGCAACACTAGATACGATCAATCTCAAAGAGGTCTACTAACATACATTAATACATAATAGTTATGTATTAAATATACGTCATTGTAATAAATGTTGCCTTATGAATATAATTCCATACATTTTTACACACTTAAGAAGTGATGATACCTAAAGTAAATTTTAAGTGCTAAGCTCAAGAGGTCAGACACATTAGCAGAGGTCAGAGGGTAAGGGCCGAATGTCTCTTAATGTAAGATAACAGCTGGATAACCACGAGAGGACCCTAAAGGCAAAAAATAATCATTGTACTCTTGTAATCATCATTATTGAAAGCCAAGGAGCAAGAGTCTCCATTAAAGAGTGGATTAGCCGAGCTCCTGAGCTGATGAACCACTATACTTCTTCTGTGTTAATCCTCCCAGCCCCTAGAAAAATATTTCTTCCATTATCACATCACCATCACTGCAAAGCATAATTACGATTCATTACTCATACAATTCGGTTTACACCATCAGTTTGGCGCCGTCTATGGGAACGACTGTTCCTGTTACAAATAAAACTGATTTTTCAGTGACTGATGGTATCAACGCGAAACATGAGCCAAAATCAGACCAATCTTCTACGGATGCAAGATCAACAGGAAGCTGCAAATAACAGACAACCCGAAAACGCGCAAGAAGCCGATCCTCTCATGGGGGGCCTTCCCATGAATAATGAGATGGAGGCCCTTCGTTTTGTCAATGAACGTTTGATAAAACAGAATGAAGAGCTCTTAAATCTCTTACAACGCCCATAGGAAGTGCGACCAGCTCAAGGAGGCCAGAATAATCCATCACCAAGGGAGCAACCGTGTCTCAACCCCCTCAGAGAAGTTAATGAGGTGGGAGAGAATAACCAGACCTTGGGGCAAAAACCTCGCCTACTCCCTAGGAATAGTCACAACGAGAAAGTACAAAGTCAGTATAAGGAAGGAGAGATGAGCGATTTCTGCCCTTATCAATATGAGAGAAGAGAACACCACTGGGAGCAACGTTTCAAAGACATCCAGCAAGAGCTTAGCCAGATGAAGGAGGCAGTGAAGAGCAAGACCCCAGTCACTATGGATGCCTTGGTACAGCAGACCAAATCCGCATTCACTACTGGGGTGCTGCACTTCCCTCTCCTACCTAAATTCAGAATGCCGCAAGTGGATGCTTTCGATGGGACAAAAGATCCCGTGGACCACCTCAACACCTACAAAAATCAAATGGAGTTACATGGATATCAAGATCCAGTGAGATGTAGGGCCTTTGCTATCACCCTGAAGGGCTCAGCCTTAGCATGGTTTAACAGACTCCCCCTAGCCTCGATTTCCTCTTTTAAAGAGCTGTCAATCTCATTTGTGTCCCACTTCATCGGAGCTCGGACCTATAGGAAACCGAGCTACCATTTGTTAAATGTGAAACAGGGACCTGATGAGAACCTACGATCTTATGTCCAACGGTTCAGCTCAGAATCCTTGAAGGTGGATGTCCCAGATGAAAAATTTGTTATTACAGCCTTCATAGCAGGTCTGGGAGTTTAGTCAAAAGATCTGATGTTTTCTATCTCAAAGAACCCCCAGGCTAGTGTGGCGGAGGTGCTTGCCAAAGTAGAAAAGTACATAAATGGTGAGGAAGCGCTCCTCTCCAAGTTCGGGAGCTCTTCGTTGAGAAAGGAGAAAGGGAAGAAAGAAAAGAAGAGAGAATGAAGTCCTAGAAAGGAAGGAGAACGAGGCAGGTCTCCAAGAAGAGACATAGAGCGTTCCCCGAAGAAAAGAGAAAATGTCAGGGATCGCCTCGGCCCTCCACAACCAGAGCTACAACCAAGGTATGCACCCCAGCAGCTCACCCCTCTGACTGCTACGATGTCTCAGATACTGTATGAGGTGCAAAATGAGAAGTTCTAAAGGTGGCCACCATGGATGAAAGCAGACCTGACAAAAAGGGATCCTACGAAGTATTGTGACTTCCACAGAGACCATGGTCATCACACTGACGACTGTATTCAATTGAAGAATGAAATAAAATTTCTAATCCAGCGAGGGCAGCTGCGACGCTATGTGGCCAATGATAATCAAAATCGTGCTCTCCCACCTCCACCCCCTCAACGTCAAGCAACAGAGCCACACCAGCAACCTATGGGGGAGATCAGAATGATATCTGGAGGATTTGCCAGAGGAGGAGGGGTCTAGCTCTGCCAGAAAGGCCCACTGGCGAAGAATTAGAGCCACAGAAGCTCCCGAAGTATATACTATGTCTAAGTCACCATGCTTAGACACGGCTATCACTTTCTCAGATTTAGATCTGGAGGGCTGTCAACATCCCCATGATAACCCTTTGGTGGTAAGAGCTGTGGTGGCCAACAAGACTGTCCATCGTGTTTTGATTGACAATGGCAGCTCGACAGACATCATTTTTGCTTCTACTTTTGACAAAATGGATATAAAAAGGAAAAAACTTGAACTAGTAAGCACCCACCTATTGGGATTCTCAGGAGAAAGGGTACTGCCCCTAGGGTCAATCCAACTCATCTTGACCTTAGGTGACCCACCTTGTCAGACTACAACAATTGTGAAATTTCTAGTGGTTGATGCACCTTCAGCATACAATATGTTCCTTGAAAGACCCTCGCACAATTCTATAAGGGCTATTCCCTTTACCTATCATCTTGTAGTGAAGTTTCCAATAAAAAATGGAGTTGGAATGGTCTGAGGAGACTAGCGCGTAGCACGGGAATGCTACATGGCATCCATGAGAAATAAGGAGGTTGAGAGCATCCAATTGGAAGAGCTTGACATGAGGGATTAACTCGAGACCAGGCCAACACCATCAGA